AATCATAATTGTTAACTGACACTGGTGTCATCTGGAGTGCCTGTTTTGATTCAAGACAGCATGAAATCGATTTTGGGACGGCTAAGTTTTGTTGGTCGGGTGGATAGGTACGCAAAAATCAGTTGGTTTAAGGAGTATAAGCAACTTCTCGATATTGACACCCACCAAACTATGTACCCATCGAATAAGATATTTAAACATTTCAACTCCCATTGCAGCTAATGGTATCAGCGCGAAATTCTGAATGCATTCTCAACAGTGCATTTTGCTCATGATGTATTATCTTCGCAGTGATCGGTTTCAAACGGAGATTCTTGAGATTTTCCACTAGAGTCTCTAAGGGTAAAATAACTGATCACTCAACCGTTCGCGTTGTTGTCAGACTAGTTCTGTGCCAGGACCTTGTCTAATTAGTCCCCTTTCCCTTGTAATTTGGTGAATACTCGTACAATGCTTGATGACTTGGCACAGATTTAGCAGTGATTGTTTGCTTAGCGTATTGTGACTTATAACAACCAATTTCACTAGTGGACTATTTCAAGACTAGTAAACCCACAAAATATGGTTTGCAGCCTGATACCTGACACAGAACTTCACAAAAATTATCTGTGGAATTCCCCCGGTGAAGGATGAAATGTAGTGCTCTGCTGCGGTAGTTTGCTTGCCTGCTACGGCATATACTGTTAGCTTGATTCAGACATGGCGTTTAGTCCTTTTTACAGTACCCCTCCATCCATGAAAACGCCTTAATCTAATAATCGCGAAAAACACTCACTCTTTAGACGACTAGCATGTACGTAGCTAGATCAAATCTGGCAGTGGTTCACTTATACAATTTGATATGGATGGAAGTATGTAGCAATATAGTACATCACATCGACCCGGTAATAGTAGTGTGAGAATGTGCGTACTCTGGAAGAGTGGTCAACAGGCAAAAAAGAAACTATTTAGTGCAGTTATGACGAACTAGTCTCACGAGACTAGAAGTGTGGATATGCCTCATTTCCACTTTCCCGGTTAACCACCGGCAGCCTAAGTTCTTTTTATGACCCAAAGGCTGAGCAGTCCTCAGTTTTCAGATCTTCAGTTCGTTTTACAACTTTTCAGACAAAAACCGTGGTCAAGCACAGCGGTTCTATCCGCTACGACTTCAATTACCCGGGATTAGTAATACAATAAGATGAGGGCCACGCTTCAGGGGCAATCACATATCCTGCTCGCAAGTTCAACCGGCCTTATTCAGTTGCCCCGATAGACGAAACTATCTACCACATTGATCAGTCCACCTGTAGACGAGAGTTTTGGGTTTGATCCCAGACTTGTAGCAATATATTGCAACTCCCAGGCCAGGGGCGCACGAAAAATCATGTGCGAGAAATGACTAGTTTATTTAAAATGGTACGATTTTCCGAAGGGAGATCGATATCGTCAGCGCACTCCACATCTGTGAAATAGGTACTTCGATCCCCGAGATTTTAAGAGCAGCTGAATATTCACCGCGAAGTTGAAGGCACCATTGCCTGAGGCCACTGGAGGTAGAGAGCTTATTAAATAGCTTGCCGTAGACTAGCAAGCGTACACGGAGGATGCACCTGAGGACTTTGAAAGAGGCTATGTTTCACCGCAAGACACTGCTATAATTTCTGACGATAAGTGCAAAAACAGCGTTTAAATCCAGAACTGTGACCAATTTTGATAACCTGAAGCAACGGCACAGCGAGAGAACTTGTCACATGTGAACAGATTGCTTAATTGTTAGAGCACGAATTTACTGGCCGGAAGGTCCGTGTTTGGAAACCGACCTCTCCCCCTCGACTCCCCCTGTCTAGGCTTAGACAATCAAACAGTATCCCAGCCATCGTCCTTCCTTCTGGTGGCATGGGAGTTGTGCACCGAAAGGGTGCCACGGCTGGACGAATATTTATTTTTGTTGCGAAGATACGAATAATGAGTGGGAAAATACCAGCTGGTACTTTGGAAGCAGTATCCGGGTAGCTTTTACCATGGCAAACAAATGCTAGATAAGTAATGAAGAAACGTCGCATGGATGGTAATGGAAATTCAAAGAACTAAATACCTTCCCACCCTTGCAGCCAAACATAATTACACACTTCTGTTTGAAAGTAAAACAATTTGTTTCGGTTTTTCTCGTAGTAGCAATGATTATGGTATAGTACGACAAACAGTTCGGCAGTCTTAAGAGTGGCTAGATGGAAGTAGCTATTCACACCCAAACAGGTATGACTGTTCACCTTAAAGGAGTCTCAACTTTTTAACTACAAAACCCGCAGAACAAGGAACGCGAATCTATTTGAAGGTGGCAAACTTTAGTCGAGAATTCTTGCAAGTGAATGAGATCTATGCTGGACAACAGGGGAGCATTACACAGCTTTTCCATCCTTGTTGGATATCATCAAAAATATTCACTTTAAGAATCTCCAGGGAGATTCAAAATTATGGCTTACCCGTCGGTGGCTTAAAGATATAATCTTACGCTACAATAGATTCCGATGTCCACTCTTTGTCTTACTATCAAAAGTAAGCACTTGTTCTCAGGCAGCCAATAATTAGTACCTGCCTGTTCCATTCATGTGCTTTCCGGTTAAATAATTTATATTCACTCAAGGATTTCCAAGGAAATTAAATGAATCACATTGGCGGTACTTGAATGTATTTTTCTACTGAATCAACGAAGTGTTACCCATGTGCTCCTTTGTATACTCGCCACAACCCTGAGTTTCATTTACTTAGAGTAAAAGTGGTATTCACCTGATTTGCATACGAATTTACTTTTGATGAGAGAGTCTCCTGGAACAAATCGGAATCTCTCGCATACGATATTCTTGGTTTATTTTGTGTAGAACAGATATACTGTTGACAGCTTCGTTGGTAGAAACTTTGTAATACTTAGCCGAACACACGAATGAAGTCGGAATGTGCCTGTCTGCGAATAAGGTGAAGATTGAAGGCAAATCACTGATTAGCATGAGTTTTTAAAGCGCACTTTAAACCATGGTTTTAACATAGTAAACGTTATAGGTGTGGTTTTGATCAGAGACTCAGCTGAGCCAGGTCGTACCTCTCGTTTGTTATGGTTTATGGGAACTCAGAGACTGCATCTACCTGATGAGCCCCAAGAATTGCAAAGCTAGTTGTGGGCTGTCGAAGAGTTTTTCCAATCATCTCAGTATGTCTTATGTGCAGCAGCTCATTGCCTATCTTGAATATAATACCTCCTAAATCCTGAGGCCTCTTGGTGAAGCCAATTCAGTTGGAGTAGACCATCATAATCAGGCTCTTGCCCTGGATTTAGTTGCATATCTTGTCGAAATCGGATTTGCATGCAAATATGTACATTTTACTAGCTTTGTACAGCTTTATTTCAAGCAAGACATCAGGTTAACGAGAACTCGGCCACTGCGCCTACCTAACAGGCCCCAAGAAGGGCGAAAAAGTCGTTACCTGTCAGAGTTTTCACCAACCCTATGAGCAGTGTGCTAGGTTTTGAAGACTGTCATAAAGTCGGGGCACTAAGTGACTAATCTGAGGGGCTGACTAAATAGCTTGCGATCTCCTGTCTAGGAACTCTCAGTAATTCTAACATTTTGTCGGACAGAGAACAATGTGCAGCCATTTAAATGGGTTTTTCGGTGACAACCATACCCTGCACTTACTATATAATTCAGGGTCACATAAAAACCTGTCTTCAACAGTGACCAGGTTCTATCAGCGTTGGTAAGGACAACAGTAGCATTCTGATAATCTAGGTTTTTACTTGACAGCATTTTCTTAGCAAGTTATGCTACGTACTTAGTACGAGTACTCATTGGTTTCTTGTGGTGATCATTCTGCATGTGTTTACTATGCGTACACATGGATAACTGAACGAAAATATTTACTTAAATAACTGATATTTCACAATTTTCAATGTGGGGAGTAGAAATTTTGAAACTGTAGACAATCGACATTAACAGAACGTGTAGATTTCGGGGATTTTGAGCATATTTCACAAAAGGTGTAATTCTTTGGAGAAGTAACAGAATTCTGAGTCAATAGGATTTAAAATGCACTCAAACTGAAAACACGAAAAAAGTCGTATTTAAGTTTTCGAAATTTAGGGGCTGGAAACTGGCTGAGATTTTTCGTGTTAGAGTCATTGACATTTTTCAACGTTGCTTTCAGGACGTCTAGTGAACTTTTGCGCACTTCTCTGAGTCATTTTTATCCAGCTATTTACATAGTTCCTGATACATGCAACCTTGTACTTCAGTTGAAAGATGACTTCCGCAGGTTTTTGTGTCCAGACGGAGTGAAACGTTTAGTTGGATTTTAGTGGAATTTAAGCACTCTTTCACGGGGTCCTTGTGGTGAGTTGTTCAGTCAGTTGGTAGGTCAGTAAAGTTTTATAAATTCTGATTATTTAATTGTTTACTGATGCATCGAAATAAACAGTGAGAAATAAACCCCGAAGTGACCTTCGCAAAGGAACGCCTATAGCTTGGCGGCCTTGAGAAATTGAATCCCCGAGAATAAATAGGTGAAGATTGCTTGGGTTTAGCTTTGATTGTATCAAACGTTGGACAGATAATGTGTGACAAGTTGGATGTAGTTGATGATACTTTCTCCACAGCATTTTGTCCGACGGAAAACGAATGGTAAGGAACGATCACAGTGCTCCTTGACAAAATGATGCGTGTATTGTTAATAGTGCCTGAAATTCAGGCCTGAACTACTCCGGTCTGCCATCCAAATAGGAGAATTTCAACGAAAGACCACAGTGAATTTATTTGAAGCAAACAGTTCAGTTAAACTTCCTAAGGTACAAAACTAGAGGTAGTTGTTCAAAAGTGACAGAATTGGCTGATTATAAGAACACATTTCATAACTCAATTCCTCAAAGTTTCTTTGTATATCTGTCACTTCTAGCATTCCGAGTACATCGTTAACCGATATCAAATTATTGAATAGTCTCTCACAAATCTTTTCGATATTTCTTACAGGGTTGTCGCGATCGTCTTCTCAAGCTGTCCACACAAATACAGAACACATGGGCAAACCAGAGAGTGAAACTACGCGTTCTTCGAGCATGGATAAAACCGCCACCGCAGTACCAGGCCCCACCTTCAGAAGATGACTCTGAGAAGTCAGTTGATCCAAACTCAATGATAGATTCGGATGATGGTTCCTTAAGATTTGACACTGGAACTCAGCAACACGTGACAGAAAAGTTTTTAGGGATTCAGACTACCCGCAGCCATCCGACTCCTGCTACCCAAGCACCATACGCAACGATGCGCGAAAAAAGTCATCAAAATGCCAGAAAAGGACCCAAGCATGGTAATCGAATTGTAGATATGACGCCAGAGATGATGGTTGACGATGATTCGCACGACTTTCCCGGGAATTCTATCTTCCAGTCCGGAAGAAACTCCTTGGGGTATCCCCATCGTCAGCACCCTGACTCTTACTGGACGCCATGGAGAAGGAAGCTTCCTTCATCTAGGCAGCCTGGTTATGTTCAAAATCCCAACAGTTATGGCTTTGTGCGACATGGTTTCGGCGGCATCAATGACATATACTCAAACAGTCTTTCCAGTAAATTGGTCCGCCTACCAAGAGAACCACAGAAAATTTCAACAATAAATGCAACAGCAAATACCAGTCAGTCGGGAGTGCACCGACACCGCATTTTCAGTCGTTCAGTAGGAAGTAGCATGCAGGCCTTCATGATAAACCGAAACCCCTATTCACATGTGAATACGATGACCCAGGTACGGTTTGAGCAGTGGTTGCATATGCGTATGGAGGAATTCCACTATGCTGGTCGGGCAGTGGATGTGCAACTGATTACGCAATCGTACCGACTACCTGGCAGTGTGAACGAAAACTTAGGGGTCCTGGCACAGATTGCATACTATGTCGCTCACTTCGACTGGTGCTATTTCAGCCGGTCTGGTCATGTCCATTGCTCCGTGAAGCCAGGTAAGCACATCAGATGCAGTTACTTTTTCCGGGGAATGAACTTGCCTCTCTAGCACAATGACAGAAATCGGGCAAAGCTTGGGTTTCTTTATCACAAGAAGAGTATTCAAAAGTGTATACTTGGAGGTGGATATATAAAAACTGGGCCTTTTCTGTATGCGAAATTCATCTGGAAATACATCATTTAGCTAATTTGCTTGCCTCAACGGAACATCTTCGTTTACATATTATGACTCAGTTTACCTCCTTAATTCGATTTCATGTCCCTTAATTGTCTTGAGTTTTTTCGAGATAAAATAAACAAACAAACAAACAAACAAACAAACAAACAAACAAACAAATAAATAAATAAATAAATAAATAAATAAATAAATAAATAAATAAATAAATAAATAAATAAATAAATAAATAAATAAATAAATAAATAAATAAATAAATAAATAAATAAATAAATAAATAAATAAATAAATAAATAAATAAATAAATAAATAAATAAATAAATAAATAAATAAATAAATAAATAAATAAATAAATAAATAAATAAATAAATAAATAAATAAATAAATAAATAAATAAATAAATAAATAAATAAATAAATAAATAAATAAATAAATAAATAAATAAATAAATAAATAAATAAATAAATAAATAAATAAATAAATAAAGAATAAGCTGCCCAGCAAATCCTAAAATGGGCGAACTTTAAGCTGCTGAATTTGTGATCAGTTAATCAATTTTTAATATGGAGATGACGAAGTTAAGGTGTGATAATTCTAGCAAACACAACATAACTGAGCAGAGGATATTTAACCAATCAATGTATACCGCTTGCGGGTTGAAACATGTTTTTTCCCCTCCAAGTCCTGGGTTGTGATGGGATTTGGGCGTTAACCCATCTTTACTAGACGTTTTTGGCATTATCAACAACAACACCAGAAATAATTAATTCGGTCCCAGTTTACCTCGAAAGCTTCGTTCCAGTTTTCGAGTGCTTACACGACTGGTAAACTCGTTATTTAGGAGAAAATTTAGCCGTTTTACTAAAAAAAACTTTATTTAGATTCTGTGAGCTATTTGCTCAGTAAGAAAATGTCACAGCAGAGAAAATATAAACTGCCTGTTATTGAACCAATAACTAGCAGCCAACTTTAATGCGGCTTACGGGAACACGTATATTTTGTATTCTAGTGATTGAAAGCTGTTTTTTAACGGAGTTTAACCCCCCTTACCGTCTCCTAACAACGTTACAAAAATGAATTTTGTTGAAGTGAGCGGTTATGTAGATTCGCTTGCTGGAATTTGCAGTCTCATTTCTCCAACGCCTGATGGTTTAATTACACAGAAAGAGTTACTCAAAGCTCCTTAATAAAGCATAAATTCTGTTGATGAACCATAGCGGAAAAATTCGGACTATTCTCAGTTACGTCATTAAAAACTGCAGCAATCTTTTTCAGATAGGGACTTCCAGAGCTCGTTGACGAAAAATTCAGTTGAATGATCATCAAGGTTCTACACTTACTATTTTTCAACGATCTTTGGCTCTCTGGATGTACGTTTGGTAAAGCACGTTGCAAGTTTCAAAAACCCCGTAACACGTTATAAGTGCCTAGCAAATAAGGTAACATTTCTTGGTTACCTGATGTACTGATAATGTATCAGCCATTTGGTTTACTCGGTCCGTCTGATTTTCAGTTTTCATTGCGCTGCGCTAGCTGAATGCAGATCTTTCCGATTTGATGATATGCAAAGTATTTAACTCAACAAGTTAAAATGTGAAACCACCGAACTCTGAAAGTTTGCTGTAAACAACAATTCAGCTGTCAGAGCGTAGAACTGTTTGTGCAGGCGAAAGAGGACATTATAACTTCATAGTGGATATTCCTCTCTTGCTCCTTGTCATAAGGAAGAGACTGGTAGCAAAGATTTTCGTAAAGTAGATGTCTACTTCAAAGACTTGTAATACATTTTACTCCATTGTTAACGGCTGGTTTTGGACTATGGTTCTTTCTTACTCCAGTGATCATTAATAAACGCCACTATAATCAGTTTTCGATGAACGAGACCAAGTGAGCTACTCAGTATTACATCTGAAGGAGATGAACACGTGTACTGTGTACTTATTTATGCAAACAATAGCAAAACTCTCACTTGTCACAAAACCCTAAAGTTGAGCACGGTTCCGACTAGATTTGTTCGTGACTCTAGGCATTTAATATATTATTCTCTCCGTTTAGAGGACATTGTACTTAATAAGCAACTATTCAGCAGAGCTTTCTTGATATTTTTCACTAAACCAAGTGATCTGTAAGTTCTTGGATTTTTAATTCCTCTGGCTGAAAATGAATGTAATGCCCCTCATTTTTGTCCACGTTGATGCCTCTGCAATATCACATCATAGTTTTGAACAACCTAGGTTGGTTTTTTTGATGTTAATTCGCACCATCTTTAATTTATTCAGCTCTATTACATCCGGTATGGTTGTACAACCGGTTCGAGTACCTTAAACAACGATAGTCCTGATCGATACAAAGAGTTCCATCAGCCAAACTAAAGAACATGGAATTCGCATGATGTATGGACGAAGATCAGACTTAAGCGTCCGCGTGTATGTTATTCCAGAAGTAAACAAAGACAGCTGATTTAAACGGATTGGCGATATTCCAGAAAATTTCTCAAAACAAAAACTGCCGTGTAAATTTTGTGAATAGAGTGACGGAAAGTTTACTACTTCTAAATCTCCTTTCCCATGTGTTAGACAATTTTATACCACTGAAGATTCTGTTTTAGCTGACTCATTTCTTAAGTGGCACAAAATCACTGTAACAGATCTAGGTAGGACGAGAAAAATGCAGTTTTTTTTATCTGTACATTCCTTTTATATAGTTAAGGTTACGGTCTCCCAGTACAAGACACAGAAGCTACTTTTACCAAGGTATTTAAAACGGCGCGCTTTGCTTTTTAGTTCCATATTTTACATCTACATTTGGCTCGGCGGAACAAATGATGTACTGGTTTTAAACCATTGTGAAGCACAGCAGCGGTTGTGTGGCATTCGACCGAAATCAGGACAGACTGCAGCTGGCATGGCTTTTTCCCTGTGTGTCTAGCTAAATTGCTTTGGGGTACTGGTGTTCACTCCTTCAAGAATTATCAGTTACTAAAAATTCACTTGATTCATTCGCAGAAAACTGATAAGAACCGTCAAGGTTTATAAGGATAAGGACATAGACCGAAATCTAGAGATATTTTTGTTCTCAAAATATGTTTCTTAAATAAATGTATCGGTCCTGCTAATTCGCGGTCCATGCACTTCGTACCGCGGAAACATACGTTTAATGGTTACTGTTTCAACTATTTCATTGACAGAGTTGATGTTTCGTACTGACCAGAGCTTATTTCTCTGACAGTTTTTGGTTGTTTTCCGGGCAATTCAACATGGCCTCAGCTAATCGCTATCATACGCAACGTCATATCTGGAGCATCACTGCACAAAACAAATGGTAACATCAAACCTGTCACCTCATCAGGAACCAAACTTACAGGCTAAGATATTGTTTCGCTAAAGTACCATTTGCCTCACACAAGTGAACAGAAAAATTCAGTTTATTGCTTACAAGGATGCGCTCTAATTATGTGTTCATAGGCTATCACACACAAACCTGTTATTTATTACCCGCATGCTTGGAAGAGCTGAACAACTTTTTACACGTCTTTATCTGCCTCGTCCTTCAAGGAAAACTATAAATCCTAATCCGACTGCACTAATTCACATTTTTCTTTTTCCTTTTCTTCATGAACATGATAAATAAATTATGTAACACGACAGACCTAGGCGAGCGAATGCAGGGGACATGGGTTTACCTGGGGATGAGCGTATTTCAATTTCATCCTTGCCCATGCAGGTGCTCGCTTGTTTCTGATCGGACAATATGGTTGACAGTCGCGTGTAGCACCAGCAAAACATCAGTACAAACATCCCCAACAATGATTAGCTGCCCTACATTAGTATGTAATAAACCTACCGCATGGTGCCCTGCTTTCACACAACACAACTTGATACAAAACAAGTTTGTCTTGCTGTCATACCATCACCGTCAGCACCAACGCTGCCATCCAGAAAGAGGCGACAATTATCTGGGTACAGGTACCTAAAGTGCGGAGGGATGGTCAATGCTTTCTTGTTCGGCTTTGTTTAGTTGCCCAGCTGCAAAGTTTCAGGACGGAAATGAAGAGGTGGGGGGACGAATTTGTTGCAAATGATTGTAAAATCGGTCACGCCTCCTTATGTGCACACAAAAGTCTCGGTTGGAGAAAAAGGTAGAAAATATGTTTTTTTTTCGGAGCGCGGATTTAACTAAATGTGCAGTTGACTAACTCTGAATATTTCAACAAAAGGGGTTTCGCCTGGTTCTGAAATGGATATGAAGAGCTGCGATTCTGGCGAAAGATCCGGCATCGATCCTGAGTAATTGGAATCAAAGCCATACCTTTGGAAATTATTGCCTTGAAATTAGAAATCAGAAATTCTTCCATTGCTTCCATCTAACACTGATCTGAAGTCCCGAGAAACAGGTAAGGATTTGGAAGAAAACAAGTGTGAAGTTATCCGTATAGACTGTTTCAACAAGTTATTTTCCCGCTCATACATCATGGTGCTATTTTTTCCTAGCGCCTGGTGAATGCTATTCTCAGATGCGTCAACCAAGTGTATCTCTCACTTAGGCCATAATCCTTCCAACTGTTCAAAGGAGCTAACGTAAATTCACAAGCACGTGAAGCACTTAAGGCAAACTATTCGATTTGGACGCATAATACCTGTATTCATGCCTCCAAAATGGGGAACATGAGCAAAGTAAGTGTCTGATTTACGGTATCAAAGAACCAGTGTTGAACACTGATGTCATGCCACTACAGATTAATGTAATGATGATTAATTATGATGATGATGATGATGAGGATGATGACGACGAATGTTTTGATCTACTTGGTTATAAGGCCTCCTTTTTACTGAGCGAATTGAATGCATTTCTTCCGCATAAACTTGGATCATATCGCACCAGATATGCGGAAATATGCAACTGTCCACGACAGGTAAATATACATAATTTCGATCAATATCAAGCTAGTCTACCACTTACTGTAACCGGCTACAAGCTCTTTGATTGCTTCTGCTTCAAGAACTTTCTCGATTACCTTGAACCGCCTTCTCACCTGGCTACTTATTTATTTTATCAGTAGCATCGCATTTATCTATAAGAACGTGTTTTTCCTTTTGAAACTAGATGCAAGCATCACTTCACAATGGTTCGGCTGTTTCCCGGGTTCTGTGCAGGTGAACTCTGCTGATGGACGTTTGATTTCAATGAGAAACTTGAAAATTGGTGACCATGTGCTAACCCGGGACACAATCACTGGGGATCTCGTCAGAACGCGAGTCGTCGGCTTTCTTCATAGGGATGAACATGCTTGGCGACCGAATCTACGCGTCACCTTCAAATCATCCTTCAAAAATGAATCCATATGTAACTCGAGTTCACCTTCCCAACTATTTCTTACGCCAAATCACATTGTTTATATCAAAAACGAAACCGAGTCAGAGATAAAAGTCAGCTCAATATTTGCCGGCGACCTGAAAATCGGCGATACCATATTTATGTTTGATCCGTTGACAAACAACGTCACCACAGCACGTGTAATTAACTTGTTATTAATCACAGAGTGGCAGCCTGAAATTATCGGACTGTATGCCCCTTTAACTGAAACAGGCACAATGCTTATTGACAACTTGTTGGTCTCTTGTTTTGCTCAGTTCGCAAATGAGTACATTGCTTACATGGTCACATGGCCTTTACAGCTGTATTATCGGCTCGCCTGTTGGTTAAAGTTGGACAATGTCTGGCCAAGCTGGCAGCATGGCGTTCACTGGTTCTTGGAGTGGGTCTACCACACCACGGAACCATGGTTGTCCGGAACTCTGTTCTACACTCAGACTTGATGACTTTCGTAGGGATGTATCACCTTAATAGGAGCCTCAATTTTTATATCATTTACTCAAATTACCAAAGATATTTTCTTTCTTCAGTGGATCGATTAGATCTATGGAATATCTATCTGTACAGACCTCACCTGTTTTACTAGTGTCGTGGATTCTCCGGTGTGCATTTGTTTCTGATGATCAAGAAGCGCAGTACGTTTGCTCATCAGCTGGATTCTTTTTGTTTTCATATACATTTGATCATTTCGCATTTCGAAGTGGAATAATGCAGCCGACCATCTACCCTATTTGGAAGCCAAGCTGGTTTGATACTCACTGGCCTATACTGATTTTGTAAATAATCCATACCTACCCATCTAAGTGACTATCAAAGTCTCTTCCACCTCCTTTTTCATTCATATCTCGTCGGATAATAAAAGCTGTCGTACGGAAACCGCCTTTCTATTTGATTAGTCGGGGGGGGAGGAGAAGTTGCTTTTCCTGGATATCTATCTGTACAGACCTCACCTGTTTTACTAGTGTCGTGGATTCTCCGGTGTGCATTTGTTTCTGATGATCAAGAAGCGCAGTACGTTTGCTCATCAGCTGGATTCTTTTTGTTTTCATATACATTTGATCATTTCGCATTTCGAAGTGGAATAATGCAGCCGACCATCTACCCTATTTGGAAGCCAAGCTGGTTTGATACTCACTGGCCTATACTGATTTTGTAAATAATCCATACCTACCCATCTAAGTGACTATCAAAGTCTCTTCCACCTCCTTTTTCATTCATATCTCGTCGGATAATAAAAGCTGTCGTACGGAAACCGCCTTTCTATTTGATTTGGGGGGGGGGGGGGAGGAGAAGTTGGCTTTTCCTGGTGAAAAATTCCAAAGATTTTGATATTTCACTGGAATTTAGAAACTGGACTTGGTGGATATTGCATAGCTGATTAATTTAAGCCAGTTTTGTTTGCCAGTAGCAATCAGCCAAGTTTTAAAGAGTACTGAGAATGTGGTGACACAATACATGTTAGAGCTCTTGTCTAGTCATGGTGGACGGGCATTTTAAACATGCGCCAAAGATCTCCCGAAGGCAGAATCAGCCTCCTGTTTTTTTGGAGTCATCCTTTTGTCAGTGAGTTGGTCCAGACAAAATGAGTAGTGGCAACAATCTATCCTGCATTCAACAAGCGGTAAGCCCCTTAGATTCTGAAATCCAGTGGAACTATTCTGATGGCGGGAAAGCGTTTTAGCCCTCTGTCATGACACCTGGGAAGCAGCTGTTTTTAGACGTTAATCCATAGCTTGCTTTTGGTTAAGCTGGTAAAAAATAGGATTATACATTACAGTAGAACAGATACGTTATCTATACACAAGTCGAAACTGCGGCGGGAGGCTGGCGATCAAATTATTTCCCTTATAGACCTTGATTCTTCGAATCGTGGAAAGCATTAAACACATTGGTTTCCAACTGAAAATCGGACAAAAAATGAGTTAGGGCGGAGTTTCTTGGCAAAGTATACCTTACTATTTTTTGATAGTTTCCGTCGCCCGCGATTGGTCTTCTTGAACAGGGAAGGGGAAAAGAGTTTGCAGTAATTGTCCTTCGACAAGGTCTAGGTGAACAAGTTTCTGAATGGTAGGACATAAAATAGAGTGGAGGTCATCGCGCGACCTTTGTTTGCCTCACAGTCCAGCATAATCCAGTGAAAATGTTTTCACGACTTTGAGTTCTACTCTCCGCCACAAAATATGAAAGTCTGAAAGCACTGCAAAATTTTAAGGAAAGCTCGAGACTTCCATAGATCCACAGATCTAGCAATACTGCTTTTAAAGATAGTTTTCTTTGTTGTCGGAACGGTAGTATGTATACACTAATGACACCTGACTGATCTCTGGAGGGACGCTAATAAATGGCTCAAGATTATGCCTACCATCGAGGATCCTAGCGGGCTCTAGGTGGCAGTAGCACCTACATGCTTTTGTTATATGAAATCCCATATGACCTGCATGTATGCTTCAAAACATTTGAGTAGTTGACAGAAATCATCCGACTTCAGCCAAAGGCTTAAGTATTTTGAAGCTAAATCATGAATAAGTTAACTGGTTCTATATGAGGACACCGGTGTATTTTGAGGCGCACCAAAGAAAGCATTCCAGCAATTGTGGAAAGTGTGGAAACTGAGTCGATGTACTCATGGTTGCGGAACCCAACGTGTCAGCACCGATCAACAGCACATAAAATGACAAACGATTATCAGGAAGAACCAACACTCCTTAGCCTGAGGAACAGGAAAATAAACCTGACCCATATGCATCCGTTTCTTTCTTGTAACACAAATTCACCTGCTTTCACCGAAAACCATTAACTGACAACCAGTTATGATTCAGCCTGTTTGCCTTTCTGCCTCAGTTTGATAGCTTACCCACTTGGTCAGACAAAACTCTTTGTGGAAAGTAAAAATTTGTCCCGCAGTACTAAATCAAAGTCTGCTTAAACAGTAACTTCTTGTGTGATTTCAAGCCCTTTCCTGTCGATTGAAGTTATAAGTTTGTTTTGGGTCACACCATCTGTTTCTAGTTCTGTAATACCTGTCTCGACCTTTTAGAGACGCATCAGGCTCAGAGTGTTCCATGAGAAGAATTCAGCCCTTACGTGCAAAACAGTTTACCAGTGGTCATTTTTCAGCGTTACAAGGTACTCTGCAACGGCAGTCCATGTGTGAACACTTCACTTGTGATAGCGTGCTTCATCTTTATGGGGGACACCAGAAGCACAACAAAATTAGTGTCTTTTATGGATCTGCGCATAAATGTACATGTACTTTAGTCTTTATGAAGGAATACATTTCACACCACCATTTGCCACCAATTTGCTATCGCAAACCTCGACTGGAGTACGATAGACATTTACTGAATTCCTGGGTCATCTTTGCATCAAATTAAGCAAATATTCTCAAATATTCCACAAGCACTTTCGAACAATGATTAACTTCCATTTATTCGGATAAGTCCAGTTGAATTTTTTTCAAACCAGTATGGTCCTCATGTGCATCCGTCCTTATTTATTTATTGACAATCACACTGGTCATCGTGTTTCTTTTACCGTCGATCCGTCAATCGAGTTTTTATTTTGTTTTTCCTACTTCACCCTGTTTTCATACAAATGCCCGTTTGCTTGTGGTTCGCTTAGAAATACTTAAGACTAGAGAATTTGAACGTACTGAATGAGAGAACGAACGGCTGTAACCGAAACGAGGACGTGACATGAAACCATGAGACATCACTGGTGTTACCCAGTTACAATTAGTTTGGGGCTGGTAAAACGGCAGGTGAAGAGGAACCCATAATTTCCAAATTACAAACTGTGCTCCCTCGTTGTCGCATCTAAAACTAAGCATCAAAGCTTTCTGCTGAGTCTTCTTTGTGGTAGAATCTGCAACTCCAACTCGGTGTCGGACACCACAGTTGGGTACCGTGGCATGAATACTCAAAGCAGATGTTCAAATCTGCATGGTTCCTTTTCATTCTGTCCGCAGTTTTGCTAAAGCCTCCATGCTAACAATTCGTTGCGCAGCTAAACTGGTTCCCTGAAGTGAGACGCTACACAACTTCATGTAACAGAAATATGAGAGAACAGGAGATCAAGACTGGAATATGACCCTATTCTACAAACATTTAAACGTCTACAAAGAACTAAAACGTGTCCGGTAGTATAATAACTTGGGTATTTTTCCGAATTTAATATACAACCAGGTAGAAGTAATCAGTGAACAAAGCATAAGGACTTCTGACGAGGCCAGGAAAACCGGATTTGGGAAAGGTAGACATAATGATGTCTAACTTAACTCTGGTTATGATGGTCACCTCAGGTGTTGAAAAGTCTACAGTTGCCGGTAGATAGTCGTTAATCAGTAAGTCAGAGAGAGCATCCTTGTACTGCTGAAACTGCTTAGATTTGAGGAATACTATGGACAATGCAAAAAAAATAAAGCGGATCGTAATATCAGAATTCACATCACTCGAACCTGATCTGAGGATGCCAGTAAATATCATCTAGAAGAGATGGATTCGCTACTACAGAAAACAGCAGACCAGCAAGAGCCAGCTCTGTACTGAACAAATTATTCTAGGAGTTTCTTTTCACAGTAGGGGTGGAAAAGAACAAAATGGTAAATTGTTTTGATAGTCCCTACCTGAAGACCAAATGGCCATCTAAAACCAAAGTAAACGCAAGTGAGACAGGTACAGCTCAGATTCTGAGGTACATTGGCGGGCATCCAAAATATCACGATCGAAGGTTGTCTGAAATTTTGGCAAGGGCTTCGAGACGCACCACAGCACAACAGAAACGACATTGCGGGAAGAGAGTCATATTTCTGGGGTATTCTAAACTAAGGGTTATGTAGAAGATTCTATCTCGATCCACTTATGGAATCAAAACTAGACAGCTGTGTTGGGGCAAAAAAGGCACGAAATTCGATCTCATGTATTGAGGTTTACGTTAACGTCGCTGTGGAATACTTGAACTATCAAGGAATAGCGGCGAACTTCCGAATAATCAACACGTTATGGCAAAAGCTTTTGAGGCCAAATTGAAGACATGATGCAGCGAGGAAAGCGAAGATCAGAATCAAGCTTTAATGGGATGAATAAGACAGATTATATTTTGATCATAATCGTAGCACGTCTCAGAAGGCCCTAGCTTTTCTGTGGAGGCAGACTGTCACATTGTTTTACTCAATAAAACAGAAAGGATGCCAGATTAAACCGAACAAACCCATATAATTTCTCAATGAAAAGCTAGACGACGGCGAAATTTTATTTACACGCGATAATTGACAGCAAAATTGTCCTTTGAAAACGTTTTCTGCGATTCGTTTCACCGCTTATAACGGACAAATGGACTACAGAAAGCCCACATCGAATCCTGCTTGAAATCAAGTAACAGAAAAATAGCTATTTAAATGAACTTTTCACCATTTGTGGGTGATTATGGATACCCAGTTAGAAAACTCAAAACAGCTCACATAAAGAAAACAACATTTTTGTTTTATTTCCGGATAAAACGATAGAGGTGTTCAAATTGAAAATTAAACAGACAGCGGAAAACGTGGGCCATCAATATTCTGTCACAAAGAGCCCTAACCTCTACCCAAAACTCAGCCGGCATTCAAATATTCCAATTAAGGGTAGCCAAGCAAGTAGGAGGTGGACGGCTTCAAGCCGACATCAAGGTGAGAACAAAGATGGGCCCACCACAAGCCACGACCCAGTTGGCGGCGAAAAGTTGAAAATTCGGTTATCGAACTCGGTCTAAATATCGATATTCATACCTAACAACGACAGGATATATCCTATTGACCGAAAACTGCTACCTCGTAGAGATTGCCGCTGGGTTCACTAAGAATTCCGCAGGCCATACTTAATGGAATTCGGTCTTTCAAG